TAGAGTGGACTAGACTAAGTCGAAAAGTCCTCTACCATTTTGCAATTTTCGCAAAAGTCAGCGAGTTATTAATTATTAAAAATTGTTAGGCCGGCCCACTGCCCAATTCAAACGTGCGGCGAGATCGACCGATCGTTACAACTCTCTGCGCGCCTAGTAACGATCGATCGATCTCGCCGCACGTTTCAATTGGGCAGTGGGCCGGCCTAAGACAGCGATTTTGAATAATTAATAACTCGCCGACTTTTGCGAAAATTGCAAAATGGTAGAGGACTTTTCGACTTAGTCTAGTCCACTCTATCCCACAATAAGCGTTGATGCGGGTATTACATAACACCCTGTATACACGCGACTTGTCCACCGGTTAATAATTATATTTCTCTAAGAAACATAGACAAAAAATGGAGATACTACTTTTTTTGTTTAGGACGGCAGCATACGTTTATCCTTTTCTTCGTGAAATAATTGTCACACCGCTGTGCATTACACACGAACAAATCTCTTAATGAATCTATCTCAAATTTGCCTCCTCCGTCTTGTGACTTTTAACACAGTCGTACCGGAATATCCGCAGCATCGAGCGTAAAGAGTCAAGATTATCGGGGTCAACGGGGCCGACAGTGAAGCGTGTCATGCTGGCGGAACGACAAAACGTCAGATAGCGAGGGACCGGTATCGGGGGCAACGCCGTGTAAAAAAAATCCCGTTCCGGAAACACTGGGACGCGCCACCGATCAGCTTAATAAAAATGGAAGGAATCCCACGTTATACGGAAAGTTACGGCGCGGGCCTGGAACGGTCATTGATCATGTTATGGCGTGGCGCAGTATGGCAATATATAATAATAATTTACACGAGTACGGGACGCCTCTCCCCTTCCCACCCTCGGCATAAGGCGGCCGCATTGTTTCGCGGAGCTTATGCAGAGCGTTCCACCATGACGGCCGTTTATGCGCTTACGCGTATCCTCATGCAAATTTCTATGCCGCGGACTTAGCGCTGTACGACGCGTACGCGAAAATGAACGTGCGTCGTGAACAAGAGGGGGGACTGACTGATGACGGTGTGACGGATACCGGTTGCCCGTGTGTCTCGTATATTCCTCGCAGAGCTGCGAGGCAAGCAGGGTGCCAACTGAACATTTGTACCCTTCTTCGAGATTGGCTCGTTTAAACGAAAGAACGACCGGATCGAACGAACGGCTTGGATCGACTTCGACAATGATTATCGCTTTCTTTCCGCTTAACCTTCCGTTTCTCTCTCTCCTCTCTCTCTCTCTCTCTCTCTCTCTCTCTCTCTCTCTCTCTTCGTTTTACCTCTGCAAAGAAAAGTGGGTTCGCCGGCGTATTGTGTGGGGTATGCGGGGGCACGATCGCCCGGAAGAAAGTAGGGGCAACGTTCCTCCACGGTCTGGCAAATGGATCGGCAGGGCCTTAATCTGGGGCCGATCCAGCTGCCCTCCGAGATTTTCACGTCTTTCGGATTCCTGTGAGCAAAGTAAGGCACCAGGGAGCTGCACACCCATTTCCTATACGCCTCCTGCAATCAGAATCATCGTGCACCGTTAGTCAATCTTTGCCCCTACGATTTTCTATAATATACAATTTAATAAATACACAGAGAGGTGTGAGAGAGACAGTATGTATACGTATATCTAATTTGAGACGAAATTAAACATTCTTCTAATCGCATAAATTGTTTGCGACATAAAGTTTTATATCTGCTCGATTATTATTTCGCGTGGAATAAAAGAGCGTGTTAAATTTGCGAGAAAATTTCACTGGGAAATTTTGTATTATGGGCCGAAGCTTTTAATACATGTCCTTTTCTACGTCCACCTTCCCATGCTGTTCAAGATGCGGTTAACGTAAGCAAAAGGCGCGGGACTGTATTACAAAGCGTGGAATAAGGAAGCGGGAAATGGGTAAACTAACGACTTAAAGCGCATTAAGCTATTATTCCTCCCAGCCTCTCAATTAGCGTACGTTCCTATTAACAGGAAGCTTTCCTCCGTTTGCCAGCTGCGTAACTTTTTTTTAAAACGCGCATGTTTTTGTTGCTGGAACACGCGAACAAGTAAATCGTCATTAATACGATTCCATTCGCATAATAATTTGCTCTGAATGGTTCTATTTAATAATATTAAATTAGCGAATTATTCTTATAAAACTAGAACATCTTACAGCCTACGAGATCGTTCGTTTTATATATATTTATATCGTAGAATTTGACGAACTCTTATAGCCAGTCTCTGATTACAGGGTCTCTAGGACTGACTATCTCTATCCTTCAGATCTTTGTTTCAGCTCGGCCCGTATGAAGACGCAGTCTAAATGTATATATATAATATATATAAAAGTCTATGATTTATATATAGTTGGTGCAATTGTTTTATATCATTCCTTTTGTAGATTCAAGTACTTTTTTGACAAAAAATTTGCCCATATATTTGTTCTTTCTACGCGTATACTTGGCCTTTTTGTACCTTTTCTTAAAAGATAATTTTGTTAGGATATATTTATACGTTGCGTTATTTATAAATTTTTTTAATACACTCCGTAAAGGATCCATAAAGCGTTTGACGTCGCGAGAATGTCGCAACGACTACGAGTCTTATCGACGGATCATCGATTGCAGATTGATACATTCGTATTTATCATAAGCATACGCTCAAATAAAAATTGCGAGCCGTATTGAAAATCGACTATGCTTGAAATTCGAGTAAAAGCCCGATGCAAGATGATGCCACCGTTTGACGTCCCCGAGGAGATCGCGGATCCGTTTATAAAACGGAAGTCGACCCACGGCGCGAAAGGGCACCGCGGAAGAAGAAGAAGGCGGCGCAGAGCATCGACGTCGATGTCGATCCATCCGTCCATCCGTTCAAATTAGCTGCCTCCCGCGGGGCAGACTAGCGGTTTACGAGCGTCCTACGCTTTTCGAGGACTATTTGTCAAATATCAAGGATCTTTGAGGTCAACCGGCGAAGTTGGAATAGGCAATAAGGCGGGTGTCTGACCCACATAGCCGCCTTCAAACATGAACACCACCGCTGGAGCGCATCCTCTCCTTCTCCGGAGAGTATGCTATAATTACATACCGACTCCGCAGAATCTTTTATCTACCGCCAGGCTGTCCCCGGGATCTCTACCGGGTGCCCAGCCGCGAAGCGCGCTGAAGCCGGATACTGAGATGTTCCTCGGAACATTCGAAGGTGCGAAAAGAAGTCAAGTTTCTAAAGTTCAGGAATGAATTGACGCGATAGAATTAGCACCAATCGTAACTGTCGCGGGAGAATGATGGACGCGAATTAATAGCGAATACTTCTTGCTTGCGGATGATGGATGAAAAAATAGCCCCGGCGAAAAAAATTTCTTTGCATAATGCGCGCTGCCTTTCAAAGTTATCCAACTTTCCACTTCTTCTTTTATACCTTCAACCCTGAGGGAGATATGCAGGTGACCTGCTTCTAATGGATCTACCCTGCATATCAGAGGGAAAGAGAGAGAGAGAGAGAGAGAGAAAAGTTGATCCGCGAGGAAATTTGTCTTCGATCTTTCCCTCGGCGCGAATTTAAATCGCGGACCCGCCGTTTATCGAAATCTTTTGATTTTCAACGAGCTGTAAGCGATTAATCGCTGGATGAACCCTTTGCCGAGCCGAGCATCGAGATGCCGGCGAGCGCATACTCGATTGGCGCAATTAATTTTTCGCCACGATGAAAAGAAGATGCGCATTCCGTTCTTGAAACACCCGATGGACTCGACCCTTTCGCGTTGCCCCTCGAAGGGAGTTTATTAAATTCGCAGCGTAAATTCGCGCTCGCGCCCGGAAAAAGGGGAGTAGACGTCGAAAGCAGCGCGAGGGGTTGTTGAAACGTCACTGCTCTCCGCTGGGAAAACGTTGCACATTGGGAACTCCGCGGAGACAGAAGAGAGCAGTAGCAGGTATATTGTAGCAAAAGCAGTAAGCAAGGCTATAGGACGGGGTCAGATTTATAAATAGGCTAACTAAAGTACAGCTTTGACTCTCGTATCCCGAGGGGCCACGCCGTCTTAAAAGCCGGCTAATAAATAATGCAGATGTCTCCAACTTTTTAAACATTTCGCTCCGCTGCCGGATTATGCGCAATTTATTACGTCGCAAATATTATTTAAGATACATTTAAAAGCGATGACATTTAGGCTAATCAAAATACTTAAGAGACTCGTTCACGTCCCGAGGGTGCGTGCACCGTCTTAAAAGCTAAGCATAAATAATTCAGATGTCTCCAACTCTTTCATTTCATTGCTGGATTATATGGAGATTACTTCGTTGAAAATCCATTGAAGGATATTTCTCTTGAAACACGTTTAAGAGTGATGATATTTAGAGGACTGTGCCTCCGGAAGTGGCCTGTTTTAAGATAAAACGTTAAAATCTTAACTAAGCTGCGTCCTTTTTCCCTTCCCTTCTCACTCGTAAACGGATATTCCCGTCTCGCGGAGGGGAAACGTGGATCCGATTATGCAATGGCATCATTCGCGCGCGTATTGTTAGCAATTTGGCCGAGGAAAATCAATTCAACGTGAAAGCCTCGGACAGTCGATATCACAAAGAATATCGACGGCTAGTCCTTGAGAGGCATTCAACGAGATATGGATATTGATCTTATCCGGTATCGCACGTATGCACGAAGCATCGTCGGAATTGCGCTCGGAATACGCAATTTCTTCGAGTGTAGCGCCGGGCGAGTAACGAATTCGCGACTCGCCGCGTAGCACCGGGACCAAGATATTCCATAACAGGCAACATGCAAGAAGTAGGTACTGCATCTCGCACGATCCATTTCTACCGAACGTCGGTTCTCTCTTTTCAATGCGGACATTTTGTCAAAATTAAATTAGTCAAACTAGTCAGACGCCGAGTCCTCGCATTTACAGAGCGTATATTTCTCAAACATGTTTTAGCACTGACATTTCGTTGCGGTTCATCCTTCAAAAATTATTATAATAATTCGCAACACGAGAATTCTTTTAGCCCCAGACTGTTTCATCATCAAGGCTAAACAAAGTTCGTTTTCCCAAGGGATATCGAGGACGTGCGTATCTGCTAGATTGAGCGAAACGGCCGTCCCCTCGGTAAAGCCAAACGAGACTCGGGAAGAAATGTTTTTCGCGATATAGCGGGGATTCGTTTCCGAGCCCTCTGTCGCGCCGCTTCTAGGATATTCGCCATAATGACGACGTCGACGAGGGGGAGGAACTGGTAGGAAGGAATGAGGAATAACCGGGGCGATAAATGCGGAAGTGCAAACGACGCTACAGAGAACGAGGAGATGAGGAGAGAAGGTGGCGATATTAGTCGGCGATTACTGGAATTATAACGAAAATTTCAGTGCACGGAAACGCACTAATACTTGTCATAATTGCGTGCAAGAGAGTAGTCCGAAAATTTAAGCGAAAAATCTTTTTTTACGTTTTCAAGTTTTTCATCATTTTCATTTTTACGGTATTTAGAGACGCATCACGTAGCGCCGTTAGATCTGGGTGGTGGTGCCAAGAGTACATTCTAAAAAATTATCAAATTTCAATTTTGCATCCGCCATTTCGCGCCCCTCTACTTTTTATATTCTATAAGAATGTTCAGCTGGAATTTGGATTCCATGGGTCCTAATAATATCTAAACAATGTTCCTTAGCATAGTTGAATTACAGTTGAACGATGTTATTCTTTTAAGTTTCGAATTCCGCCAGTTTGAATTATGAAAATCTGATAACGAATTCGCAATCAGCGAGCCCAAAAACCCTTGTATACAAAGTTTCACAAAGATGGTTCAATAGAAAAATGTATACATCAAAGGGTTAATGCAATAGTACCTTCCGACGAACCGCCGTCGTTGTTTAAAATAAGTTCAATAAAATATAATTGCAGTGATTTCTCGTATGTCAAGCGTAGAACCTAGCACTCACCCCTTTCCAGACGGCGACAAAAGTATCTCGTAATCTTTCCTTCGAATCTTGGTCGATTCTCGCGATTGATTCTCGCGCGACCTGAGGCCGCGATTGTTGCATCAGCGTATGTCTGCACTTTAACGCTGCCGATAGTCTGTCGTACGTTTTACCTTCGGCGCTACAGCCCTCTCGAGCGGCGCACGAGGGTAGGCAGGGTGGCCCAGCTACGTGGGGAGATAGGTACCTACACCTGAAGTGCCCTCCAAGCCCGCTGACCCAATTCTCTCCTCTACCCTCCGACGATCTGCGTTGGAACCAGACAGATGTGGTGCCCATCACCCTTTCCTACTCTCTTCGATCCTCCGCGACTCTACTCCGCGCCAACCTTCACCCTGTCGCGTTGCTCCAATCCGTCTCTCTATCGCTCACCCGCACCCTCTCGAGTGTTGTCCAATAACAATCGCGAGGTTCTACCGCGCAATTTATGCGTAACTCTATTTCTCTCTTTACTTAATTTTTTCTCTCGTAATTCTAGCGTCTTAAGCTTCGGGCCTGAAACGGGGTCTTTTCAAAGTTCTGACGCGAGCAAAGTTCTCGAATCGGAGCT